AGAAACAGAAGAGAATCTTTCAGATGAAGCTTTGTAGGCCTCAATTGTTTAAAAAGGTCAGTCTGTTGTACATAATTTGTCCTGTTCATGGTAGATAATAGAACCAGTGTCCCTCTTGTTTGGCTGTAGTAGAGACCTGGGCCCTACTGCCTGATGACTTGACAAGGGAGATGCCAAAGGGGGCTGCTCTGACCCCCTGGCCTGCCCCTCCAGGTTCCTTTGTATCATACCTCCACTTGTGTCCCCAGCTGTTATGGTAAGATAGGAAAGGGAGCTGGGGAGGATAGAGTGGAAGGGAGGGAGGAGTGTTGGGCTACTTAGAGTTAGAGAGACATACTTTTCTCCTGAGGGTAGACAGAGGAGCTGTGCAGGTCATTGGTGGCAAGGGAAGAATACTTCAGCAATGGTGTCAGGCTCCCTGGTTTTTGGTGGCCTTTGGTTTCAGTTGGCTGTGTGATCTAGAGCAAATGGCACCATGACTCTGACTCTTACCTTCATTTGGAATACTAGGCGGTAGAATAATCTGAGTGGCTGGCTAGTGTACCAGTAAGTGTGTCCACAAAAAAGTCTGCTCCTCCTCTTTGTCTTCCTTTTTCCAGCAGTAAGGTTCTGTCATTAGAGTCATCCACAGAGGAGTCTTCCTCTACCTACCATGACAATAATTTGGTAGGGAAAACCCCTCATGGGGCAAAGGGGAAATGTTTCCATATTCTTACTTCCACAAAATAATACCTTTTTAAAAAATTTTTATTTTTAAATCATATTCTATTACAGCTGTGTCAATTTTCTCCATTTACCACCCTCCACCCTTCCCACCACCACCCCCCGATCCCACAGTCAATTCCCACTCTGTTGTCCATGTCCATGGGTCATTCATACATATTCTTTGTCTAGTCCCTTCCCCTTCTTTCCACCATTGTCCTCTTTCCCCATCCCCTCTTGTCACTTTCAACCTGCTCCATGTTTCCATGCCTGTGGTTTATTTAGTTCGTTAAGTTTATTTTGTTCAATAGAGTCCACTTGTAGGTGAGATCATATGGTATTTGTCTTTGGTCAACTGGCTTATTTCACTTAGCTTAATATTCTCCACTTCCATCCATGTCGTTGCAAAAGGTAGGAGTTCCATCTCTCTCTCTCTCTCTCTCTCTCTCCCTCCTTTTCTTAAATGCAGATTGATTTTATTTATTTTTTAAATGTCAAAGTTAATTATAACATATTAAAAAATTTAAAACCATTATAAAGTCTCAACAATTAAACATGACACCAGCACAGAAATAATCAGGTAGGTCAATGAAATATAATGAGCATTCTAGAGACAAACATATATATCTAACAATGTAATATATAATTAAGTTGATATTTTAAATCAATGGGGAAAATAAGGCTTATTCAACAAATAAGGTGCATGGATCACTATTACTTGAAATAAAACAAATATAGAGCCCTATTTCACACATTGTACGAGAAATATTCGGGTGAGTTAAAAATCAATATGTAGAATCCAAGGAGTTTTAGGAGAAAATACAAACTAATATTTTTCTTACCATGCAGTAAAATATTCAAACCCAGAAGCTATAAAGTAAAATATTGACAATATGACTATATTAAACATTTAAGACTGTACAATAATATACGTATAAAAAAAGTTGAAGGACAAGTAATAGGATAGGAAAGTATTTGCAACACACCTAAAAAAGGATTAATGGTTTGTTTTGTTTTGGGTTTTTTTTAGGGAAAAAATTCTACAAACATTTAACAAAAAAATGGATAAAGAATACCAAAAAGTCATTTAAAGCTTTTTAAAAATAATAGAAATACGCAAGAAATGTACAAAAACAGGTTTAGTTTCAGCAAATAATAAAGGAACAATTAAAGTAACACATCACTGTCACAATCAGATTAATACGTATTGAAAACTATTGGTAACATCAAGTATTGGCCACTGTGAAAAGAACCGAGTAGACTCTTTTTCTTCACTTTCTTAAAGCAGTCCCTTTAGCATATTTTGCAGTGCTGGTTTGGTGGAGGTGTAGTCTTTTAGCCTTCTTTCGTCTGGGAAACTCCTTATTTCTCCTTCCATTTTAATTGAGAGCCTTGCTGGGTAGAGCAGTCTTGGTTGCAGGCCTTTGCTTTTCATTACTTGGAATATTTCTTGCCTTTCCCTTCTGGGGATGTTTCTGTTGAGACGTCAGTGTTTCTGTTGAGAAGTCAGCTGCTAGCCATACCCGGGCTCCCTTATATGTTACTACCTCTTTCTCCCTTGCTTCCTTTAGGATTCTCTGTCTTTGATATTTGCCATTTTCATGATGCTGTGCGTTGGAGTGGGCCTCTTTGGGTTCCTCTTGAATGGGACCCTCTGTGCTTCCTGGACTTGTGTGACTCCTCCAATTTGGGAAGTTTTCCATCATTACCTTTTTAAACAGGTTCTCTATCCCTTCCTCATTCTCTTCTCCTTCTGGTATCCCTATTATATGGATATTATTGCATTTCAGGTTGTCCTGAATTTCCCTAAATGCCCCTTTGTGCTTTTTGAGTCTTTTTTCATTTTCTTACTCTTTCTGGGAGCTCTTTTCTACCTTGTCCTCCAGCTTGCTGATTCGATCCTCTGCTTCATCAGGCCTGCTTTTGAGTCCTTCTATGGTGTTCTTCAATTCCAAAATTGTATTCTTCATTTCCCCTTGTCTCTTACTGATAGTTTCTATGTCCTCTTTCATGCGGATATAGTTTGCAGTAAGTTCCTTGTAGTTTCCCTGTAGTTTTTGGTAGTTTTCTCTGAGCTTCCTGAGCTCATTGGGCTTCCTTAGAACCGTTGTTTGGAACTCAATATCTGATAGTTTACTTGTCTCTGTTTCATTTAGTTCTCTTTGTGGGGATTCCTCCTTTCCCTTCGAGTGGGGGGTGTTTCTTTGTCTTCCCATTGTTTGTGAGACTCTTCTTTTTTGCTTCTGCTTCTTAAGTTGATCTGTCTTGATTTCCTGACTTTGTGGTGTGAACTTCTGTGGTAGGAGACCATTGTTTTTACTTTCTGGATCTGCCTCTGATGATGTCTGATGTTAACCCTGTCTGACCTTAGGCAGTCTGAGACTTCCAGGAATCTACTGTTTGTGGCTGTCTCCCTCAGCTGCTAATCTAGTCACTCTGCACTCAGCAGGCCGCCTTAGACAGCTCAGGGCAGGGCGGAGTCCCTCCCGGGGTCGGGGTTATTGGGTCCTCTCACGCTGCTGCCGTATGGGGGAGGAGTCAGCATTGGGATCCTGCCAGGTACTCTTTCCATTCTCTCCCCAAACTTCCATCCCCTGTCTCTCCCCAGGTGTCTCTAGACCTCTCTGCGCCCCCCTTTAGCCAGGGATCTCTTGTGTGGCTTCCACTCTGCACTCAGCCGGTGGCTTAGACAGCACAGGGCGGGGTGCATTCCCACCTGGGGGCAGGGCTGTTGGGTCCTCTGACGTTGGTGCTGCTCATGGGGAGTGGTCTCTGCCTGAGCAAGATGGCTGCCGCCGCATGGGAAATGAGTCAGCAATGCTATCCCGCTGGCTACTCTCAGTTCTCTCCCCAAAGCCTCCTTCCCTAGTCTCTCCTCTGGCGTCTCTAGCCCACTCTGCCCCCGCCTTTGCCAGAGACCAGGGTTAGTGGCTGCAAGTAAATATTTATGCGTTGGCCCTTCAAATGGTTCTTTGTGTCTCTAGCCACCTGCCTCTGTCAGAGAGCAACGCTGCCGCTTTCCACAGCTGTCTGTTTTCTGTGTAATGTTTGGGCTCTGGTGCTGTAGACTGGAGATCTCCGCTTATGGTTTAGACCCCACTCTTCTCAGGGGGATCCAACTGGCCCTTTCAATATCCTTCTGGTGCTGCCATAAGTGGGTGCCCCACCTGCCTTCTCAAGTCTCTACCCCACTTCTTACCAGTTCCATTGCACTAAAGCTGATTCTTCTGTCTCCGAGGTTACAAGGCTCCTCTCTCACTATTGTTCAGTTGTTGTTCCAGGTGATTTCTGCACAATTTTGGTGTTATTCCAGGTTGGTCCTGGGAGGAGGTCAGTGTCACTTCCATTTACTCTTCCACCATGTTGATTCCTCAAAGTAATATTTTTTTTTGTAGCTATTCCAAATCCCATTTAAAAGAACAGTCACTTCACTGGCTAACATTAGTTTTCCTTACATAGAACTTAATGGCAGTTTCCCGTCATGAATTTTTCTGTAATTTGTCCATCTGCTGATGTTCAGCTCAGGTGTGGCTGTGTATTCAGGCCATGCTCACAATCTGGCATGCATACACACACATACATATGCATGCAGACACATACATGCACATACATATGTGATACTCTATTGATATAGCTGAACTTTCCATACCCCTACTCTGTTCCTCCCCAGGAAGAATTGGAAGCCTCTCCTCCCCAACTAGAACAGAAAGGACAGAAGAAAGTGAGGAAGTTAGCAGATATAGTCCAGTCAAGCATGAGGTCATCATAACGAAACCCCAGGCACTGTGAGGAGAAGACTCAGGAGCCATAGAGAAGATACTCCTCCCCCCATCTTCACTTTTTTAGTCCTTCTATCCTCTGTTTTGGCAAGGGCAAATCCCTAAGCATTTGTCATCTAACACTGAGCTTTTTTCTACTTGTTTATTGCCTGTGTAGGATGGAATGAAATGGTAGGATTGGTGCAATAAAAAGGCATGGTTTTTGGAGTCACCCAGCCCTGGTGCAGATGAGCTTTGTGGCCTGGGCAAGCTTTCTTTTGTAGGCCTCAGTTTCCTCATCTCTAAATGGTGTAACATGCCTGCCTCCTATCGTGGTTATGAGGATTTAGTGAAATCATATAGGCCAAAACATGTCACCTGTGGCCTAGTTCTAGAAGGTGTGTGGTAATTTGTTCATTTCCTACTCTGCCCACTTTTAATACTTTAATTTGGCTGATTTTGCCTGGCCTAGGTCATCAGGCAGCTTTCTGAGCTAACGTCCCCCTTTTCTATTTCTAACCTTGTCTTCTCTTCTTCTAGGGGCCCAGATCATTGATCTAATGATGCTGGTCATTGACGTGACCAAGGGAATGCAGACCCAGTCAGCGGAATGCCTTGTGATTGGGCAGATTGCTTGTCAGAAGCTGATCGTGGTGCTGAACAAGGTGGACCTCTTGGCTGAAGGGAAGAGACAGGCAGCAATAGATAAAATGGTCAAGAAAATGCAGAAGACCCTAGAGAACACCAAGTAAGTTTTCCACTGAGAAGAAGGTTTACATACTTCAGAGTACACACTGTTGGACAGGCAGTTGCCCTAGTAAGTGGGAACTTGCCGGGCCCTTGCTTGCATGAAGGGCAAAGGCTAATATGCTGTTGCAAGAGGCCAAACAGTATAGGGGTATAAAGAAGCAAGAAGTTGATTTTACAGGTAATTTCCTAACACAAGCAGTGGGCGGTTCTGTGTTGCACAGTGTTCAGAAACCCAGGTTGTCTCCATCATGTTGGCCCTCCACTGTAGGGTATGTCCTTGTTTGTGCAAAGTGGGCAAGGGCATGGACATTGCTGTGTTCACATTTACAGGACCGTCCAGTGTGTAGGGCCTGGGCCTGGAAGGGACATACACTTCCCACTGAGATTCTGTTGGTAAGGACTCCATCCTACGTGCTCATTTAGCCAGGGAACGTGTCCCTTCACTGTTTATCTACAGTGGGGTCATCAAAAAGAGGTATGAGTGCTGGTGGATGACTGAATGTTTCTGTTACAGAGGCTTATAAAATTGGATGGATAGACAGATGAATGGACTGATGGACATTGCTATTGAGTAGAGACTATGAAAAGTCATATTGCAAAAGGACCTTTGAAGTATTTCATGCTAATGAGTTTACAATTTCATCTTGTGGAGAGTAGGGAGTTAAAGAATTTTGTGCAGGGGACTGAATTAAAGAGGTTTCCTTCCCATCTAGAGATGACTGGCCGCAGGTGGAAGGATTGTGTGGCAAGGAGGATATGGAGGCGGCAGGGAGACTGATAGGAAGAGGTTGTGGTGATTTTTCCAGAAAGGGAAGTGTGGCTCAGAGTTCAGGTAGTGGAAGGGGAGGAGGGTGATTTAGGGAGATTCAGCCGGCCTTGTCAGGCTATTGGCTCTGCCTACAATCAGCACATTCTGATAGGAGATGTCCCTGGGAGCAGAAAGTTGACAGTGCTACTAGGCAGGGTTGGGGTGAGACAGGTGTGGGGACTATAGGGCAGAAGCCACCTGGTTGCTTAGGTGGCCAAGGGAATGATTAATTCTGATGTGGTTGAGAAAAATGAGAAAGTGTCCTCGTTGAGCACACAGTGTTGGCAAACCTCATTGTTTTATCAATTCCTCTCTTCCTCTATGGGCCAGCGCTTTTTGATCAACACTAAGTAGTGGTCACCAGGAGACAGCAATGATCCCCCTGTGCTATGCAGCCTGAAACAATATCCTGCTACTTCCACCTCTCCTTCTTCTGCTTGTGGAGGGCAAGCAAGTAGAGAGTGTTTTTGTTTCCCCATCATAAAGATTGATATGCCTTCCCATTTATGACTTCTTTTTCAGATCCAGCACCTGCAGTTCTCCCTCAGAATTTTCAAGTTGATTAAATTAAAGCTTCAGCCCTGTGAATGGGCCAAGTATGTCATAAAAGATTTCCTAGCTTTCCCTTTTGTTAGCAAAATTCATCAATTTGATAAAATCGACACATTTAGATAAGTGTTGCATAAGAATTCAGACTTTGTTATTCCCAATGGAAGTGGATATGAGACTGTAAAAAGGAAGATAAAAAATTATATCTTCTTTTATAGTGAGTTATTTGATTTCCTGTGGTTTTATTTACTTGTCAGAAAGGGGAAAACAGATTCTTTGGACTCCTGCATAAAAACCCAGTGCAACGTCAGTATCTTTTGCCATATAAGCAGGACCTTCTGGGAAGGGCTTAGAGTACTTTTAAGGGTGAATCAATAGTAATTATTTCAGTTAGTTAAATTTAAGGAAAATTCTCACTTGCATGTTTAAATTACCATTCTTATTTTAATTTATTGGTTGAATGTCAAATTGTGCCATCTGAGGAGACTTGAAACCTATCCTCTCCTTATTCATTGCCCAGAGGGCTGGAGAGAAACTCCGATAAAGGAGAAGATTGCTGCTCTTGATGGGTTATAGTTAGGGGGCCCACTGGGCCTGTGGCCAGGGTAAGGTGGACCCTCTCATAAGAAAACATTGGTTCTTACCTCTGTGCAAAAATGAGATTCTTTAAATCATTTTAAGTGACTATTTCTTTTCTTACAGTCCCTTGTTAAGTAAATCCTTTGTAAATAAATGCTGGTTCAAATGTGAAGAAATTTTCTGAAAGATAAAAATTTAGACTGGTGAACAGTGTATGTATTAAAACCTGAAAAGGTGTTAAGACATGTCACTTTTTTTTTCCTATCCAAAGAGTACTTGAAAGAAAATTTAGAAAATGTAGAAAGTGATTAAAAGAAAGAGGAGACCACCAAAAGATTTTTCTCAAAATAGCAGCTGCTGACATTTTGGTTTATTTCATTTCTATATCTTCACTATGCATAGTATTGCCTCCCAATTTGTAAATTTTAGTAAAATATATGTAACATATTATTTGTTATTTTAACTGTTTATAAATATACAATTAAATGTCATCAGATGCATTCACAAAGCTGTGTACGCATCACCACTGTCTGTACTGAAAATTTTTTCATTATTTCCAGCATAAACTCCACCCATTATACAATAACTTCCCTTCTCTCTCCCCTCCCCCAGCCTCTGGTATTTTATTCTGTTTTCTCTCTATAAGAAATGGCCTGTTCTAGGTTCCTTATGTAGGTGGAGTCATATAATATTTAGCCTAATGTGTATGGTTTATTTCACTTGAATGATGCTTTCAGGGTCCATTCATGCTGTTGCATATGTCAGAATTTCTTTTAATAGCTGAATAGTATTCTCTTGTGTATGTGTACCATATTTTGTTTATTCATCTGTTAATGGGCTCTTATGTTGTTTCCTTTTGGTTATTGCGAATAATGCTGCTATGAACACTGGTGGACAAATACCTGTTTGAATCCATGCTTTCAGTTCCTTTAGATATACACCCAGGAGTGTAATTGCTGGGTCATATGGTAATTCTATGTTTAACTTTTTGAAGCACCACAAAACTGTTGCACCATTTTACATTCCCTTTAACAATGCACAAGGGTTCCCGTTTCTCCACATCCTTGCCAACATTATTTTCCTTTAAAAATTGTTATCCTAGTAGGTATGAAGTAGTATCTCATTGTGGCTTTGACTTGCATTTCCCTAATGACTAATGATGTTGAGCCTCTTTTCATGTTGTTCTTGATCATTTATGTATCTGCTCTGGAGAAATAGCTATTCAAGTCTTTTGCCCATTTTTTAATTGGGTTGTTGTTAGTTGTAGGCGTTCCTTAGAGATTCTGGACATTAATCCCTTGTCAAATATATCATTTGCAAATGTTTTCTTCTGTTCTGTAGACTGTCTTTTCACTTCTTGATCCTATCCTTTGATGCATGAAAGTTTTTAATTTTGATGAAACTCAATTTATTAATTTTTCCTTTTATTGCCTGTGCTTTGGTGTTACATACATGGTATTGTTGTCAAAAATCTAATGTCAATGGAGAGAAGATGGCGGAGGAGTGAATGGGAGTCACGCTGACCTCCTCCCAAAACCAAACTGGAATTGCAACTAAATAAGGGAGTAATCACCTGGAAAGCAGTGGAGCGATAGTGGGAGAGGAGCCTTGGTGCCGCGGACAGTGGATTCTACTCTCACACATCCCAACGGGTGAGAAGTGCGGTGGAGGCTCGAGAAGGTGGGCTGGGTGCCCACGGGCACTGGCACCAGAGGGACATTGAAATGGCCAGTAGCTTCCCCCCGAGAAGAATGGGGTCTGAATCATAAACAGGAACCCCTAAACTACAGCCGCTAAAGCCAAGAAAATGCAGACAAAACGCAACCCCGAAAAGCTTAAGGGCGCTCTCTTCCAGAGACAGGTGGCTGGGGATACAAAGAGACATTTAAAGGGCAAAGGCAAAAGTTGCAGTGGCAGCCCCCCTCCTTGATCTCTGGGTAGAGGCGGCAGCAGGGTGGGCTGGTGCCTGGGAAAAGACTGGTGAGGAAAACTTTGTGAAGAGAACTGACACGTCGGCCGGTGGAGCCCCAGTGATGCGCGCCTCCCACTGTGCAGCTACCATCTCGCTCAGGCATAAGGGAATCAATTAACCTGCCTTTTGTGTGCTCCGCACACAGCTTGTACACGTGTGAGCTGCGGGGCTGAGTGCAGACTGGCTGGGAGAGCCTTGAGGAGAGACTGGAGATGGAGGCATTGGGGAAAGAACGGGAGTAGGAACCAGGAGTCTCGACTCCCTCCCCGTTCTGTAGTCTTCATTGTGGGCTGGAAAAGCGTGACCCCAAAGAGGCAGAAGCGGGGCGCGCATGAACCAGACTGCCTGCGATTGAAACACAGTCTTCACAGTGGGTGGATCCTTGGCTGAAGGGGTCACAGAACTGCCTGGAGCCCCCTGAGGAGAATCTGGAAACAGAGGCATTGGGGAAAGAACGGGAGGAGAAACCGGGGAGTCCCCACTCCCTCCCCTTTCCGTAGTCTCCATTGTGGGCTGGAAAGGCGCGCCCCCAAAGTGGCAGAAGAGGGGCGCGCAGGAACCAGACTGCTGGCGATTGAAATGCAGTCCGCACAGGTGGTGGATCCTTGGCCGAACAGGTCACAGAACTGCCCAGAGACCCCTGAGGAGAGACTAGAAACTGAGGCGTTGGGGAAAGAACGGGAGGAGGAACCAGGGAGTCCCGACGCCTTCTCCTTGCCGTAGTCTCCATTGTGCGGGAAGAGGACACACCCCCAAAGAGCGAAAAGCCGAAAAGCACACATAGACACCCCCAAAACACCCAGTGCAGGCGCACACGCTTGCGCCGAGTGACGGGCGAGGGTTGGCGAGCGTGTGTGTAACCCGCGCGGGCTGGCGAATGCTTGCACCGGCCAGCAAGGCCTCCCACAGATTGGCACCGATATGGCCTGCGAGGGAGTACGCAGAGCGGCAAGGGCAGGCGTAAACTGACCCGCCCGCCCGCGATTCTGGAGCAGCCCACAAAATTAGTAGATCTGCCCAGAGTCCCTGGAGGAGAGACTAGAGACACGATTAACCGGAGAGTCCTGGAGCTGACTTCCTCCCATTTCCG